TATTTTTTTTAATCTATTTTGTAAATTAAAAATCAATAATTTTGGAAAATTGATTAATTTGTCCTATTAAGTGATTTAAAATTTTGATAAATATACATAAAAAAATACATAATTATATTATTAAATCATAATTCAAATTTAAATTTTATATCTTTTTGAGATCTGTAACTAAATTCTTATCTTTTTTTATTTTTATTTTTGTGTGTAACCATAATGTATGGAAGAAATTGAAAAGGGTGTTGCAATAATTATGAGAGAAGTCAAAATGAATTGTGGGTTGGGAGAAGTCAATATATAGCGATTCCGGTTTTACCCTTGTTATACAGTGACCCGGACATGTGTCCGTGGATGTTGGTAGTTGTTTATTATCTTGTTTACATCCTTTTTACTTAGTATTTGAGTTATGGGATGTGTTGGGCAGGTTTGTTAAATGTATGGAAGAAATTGAAAAGGGTGTTGCAATAATTATGAGAGAAGTCAAAATGAATTGTGGGTTGGGAGAAGTCAATAAATGTTGAGGTTGGGTTAGGAGAAGTCAATAAATACTGATATTTTTTTTTTAATCAAAAAATTAGAAAATTAGGATTAGGAGATTGGAGCTCCTACAGGCCCTGGGGTTAAAAACCCCCTTTTGCTTAATATATAGTATAGATAAATATAGATATAGACATTTATATTTGTTTTAGATATTTTTTTAATATACAAATTATTTGTTTTAAAAAGGGTGCTGTAGTAATTATGAGAGAAGTAAAAAAGGCTTGTGGGTTGAGAGAAGTTAATAAATGCTGAGGTTAATTTTTTTTTAAATCAAAAAATTAGAAAATTAAGATTGGGATATTGGAACTCTCACAAGGCTTGTTGGTTAAAAACCTTTTTTTTCTTTATTTAATACTAGCATATCACACGTGCTAATGCACGGATTGTGTTTACAATTATCTAATTTTTTTTTAAATGTCTTATTTTTTTCCTTTTTGATATTATATTAAAGTTTAATATTTTGATAATAATCATATGTGTTGGACTTTTCAAGGAATTAAATATTTTTTTTAATTATTATATTATATTAAAGTTTAATATTTTGATAATAATCATATGTGTTGGACTTTTCAAAATTTTTTTTTATGTTTGTTCTTAATGCATTAAAGTATTATTATGAGGGATAATAATCATGTGTGTTGGGACTTTTCAAGGAATTCATATGTGTTGGATTTTAAAGAATTTTTTTTTTATGTTTGTTCTTAATGCGTGTTATTACGAGGGTAAGACTTGGGAGTTGAGAGAAGCTAATAAATACTCACATTTTATTTTTTTTTAAATCAAAAAATCAGAAAATTTAGATTGAGAGATTGGAGCTTCCACAAAACTTGGGGTTAAAAACCCCCTTTTGCTTAATATATAGTATAGATATAGATTAGATGGTAATATAATACAGTCATATAGTGTTTTAGGGGTGTTATGTGAAATTAATAATTTTATGTTATGTGATTGAGAAATATGAAATGGTGTAATGTATAATGATTAGTGAAGAGTATGAACACGTAACGTGATTGATACCTAAATATTATATATTTAACCTCTTAATATACACTATATTAGTCTATTTATTTATATTATTTAATAATTTTGTGTGATTTTATGTGTTTGTATATATTTTGTGTGCTTATATATAAATTGTTATAAATAATATATTTTATATTAATTTATTAAATAATAGAATAATAAAAAATTAAGGGAAAGCAAAATGGTGCGGTTGGCACCATCGTATCATCAAGTTTGATTATAAAAGAAAGAAAATGAAAATCAAAGGAAAAAGTGATATGCCACAGAATGCCTTTCGGCCGCACTAATTTGCACCCCAAAGTTGCTACAGGGCCCGAAGATGCAACAGCTCGAATGGTTCGAAAGTGGTTTGCCTCTGAAAATTTGATGCACGTGGAGCTCACGTATTCTGGAAAACAAACTAATGAAACAAAAAACAGAAACAAGAGAGGAGAGAAGGGAGAGAGAAAGAGAGAGAGGTTGCGAACCAGACTACAGGACTTCACGATGACGAGAGAGACAACCACGACGACCACAAACCTAGTGTTCACCGACGAGCGTCGTTGACCTGGTGTTCTCCATGCCGAATGCCCTAAACATTTTTTATCTGTGCATGTAGGTAATTCTTTTTTTTTTTTTCTGAGATGAATTTGTGAGAGAGGTGTAAGAGGCAATTTATTTGATTTGTGTCTGTAAAAAAAAATAAAAAAAATTGGTTGTTCTGGAAGCAAGCCCTCTGTTAAACATTTCCATTGTAGTAATGCATGCCAATTGTTTGATAAAAGTCTCCATAGAGAAATTATCCTTATTTTTTATGTTTTGGTTGATGAAAGTCTTGATGCATGGCAATTGTTTTAGTTGATGAAATTATCCCCATAGATTCTTGATGCATGCCAATTATTTTCAAACAAACAAGTAAATAAATTTAACCAAAGTCAGATTGTGACCAACCTATATATTGTCATTAAGTTTACAATCCCAATTGAGTTATTTAGCAAGAACAAATGATATTTAAAGTCCCCTTTGTTAATTTTTTTTTAAAAAAACTAATCTTTATAGAAACTAAGTAATTTTGTGATTAGTCATACTAATTTAGTGACATGATGCTAATCTTTCTTGATTTAGCAAGAACACTTTATGTTTGAACTAACTAATTTTGACATTTAGGGTAATGTTTGAATTACTGTTTGAATTCAAACACTAATCTCAGTGTTTGAATTAACTTATCTCATTACTGTACATTAGTTAATTCAAACAATCTCAGTGTTTGAATTTAAGTGTTTGTACAATGTTCTCATTAGTTAACTAATCTCAATGTAAGAATTAACTCAGTACTGAGATCAGTGTTCTCATTAGTTAACTGATATCAACTCATTATTGAGATCTTCTTAGTAAGAATTAACTTATTACTGAGATCAATGTGTTGAATTAATCTCAATGTTCTCATCCATTGATGTACATTACTGTTTGAAAATGGAACACTTAATTTGTTTCAGTGTTGAAATTCATGTGTATGTTAAATTCATTTTTGGCAAAATTATTTACCATCTAAGAACTTGAAAATCATTGTAAACCATTTCAATGTTGGTTGATAAGACATAGAACTTTCATGGACATTAAAACAAATGGTATTAATTAACCTTGAAATGAAATATCCCTATCCAATATGAAAATCTATGTGATTACTAGTTAAGTTGGAGAACCTTAGAAAAATTGAAATGCACTTACATGTACTTACACTTTATTTTCTATTTGGTTTGAAGCTACACGAGCTACACGCTTCAATGGACATTGATTCAAACAATCCTTCATTGAATGGGACTGAGGACGTTGAAGAAACGGAGAACAATCCGTCATTAAATGAGATTGGTGAAGTTGAAGAACCTAAGAAGGGCATGTGTTTTAGCTCAAAGTAAGAAGTATATTCGTTTTATGCAAAATATGCGAAGCACCTCGGATTTACTGTAGCTTATAGAACACAAATTATTGGACAAGATGGGGAAGGAAAATACTTTGGAATTGAATGTACTCGGGCATGCAAGAGAACAAAACGATCAGAAGTACACCATCTCGAACCATCTTTGTCAGTATTCATTGAATGTAAAACAAAGGTTAGAGCAACTCTACAAAAGGATGGAAGATTTAAGTTGACCACAGTTGTGCTTGAACATACACGTGATTTGATTCCTAGTGACTCACGACATTTTGCAATGAATAAGAGAATTCTTACCCCTGTGAAGAGAAGACTAGAAATAAATGATGAAGCAGGGATAGGGGTGGCTAGGAATTTTCATTCTATAATTATTGAAGCAGGGGGGTATGAGGCATTAACATTTGATGAACAAGATGCAAGGAATCATATTCAGAGTATGAGAAGATTGAAGCTTGGAGTAGGAGATGCTGAATCAGTTGCACTTTATTTTCATAGGATGTAACAACAAAATTCGAACTTCTATTCTGCAATTGACCTCGATGAAGATGGTCGCAAGCAAAACTTGTTTTGGGCGGATGCAAGGAGTAGGATAGCTTATAAAGCATTTGGGGATGTGGTTTCATTTGACACAACTTATCTCACAAACAAATATGATATGCCATTTGCTCCATTTGTAGGAGTTAATCACCATGGGCAATCAATTTTGCTTAGTTATGAGTTGTTATCTAATGAGAACACTGAAACATTTGTGTGGCTATTCAAAGAATAGGCACAGTTTGTAAAGTGTACTTGTTAATTCATCATTCTATTTGTTGAATGGACAATATTTGTAAAGTGTACTTGTTTATTAAACAAGCACAGTTTAATCAAATGCAAACGGTAGACAATATTGGAGGCACATCTCATACTAAATCAGGAATGGTGAACAACATCAGTAGTCAAAGTTCTACAATCGCTTCAAATTTTGTTCACTTCAATGTAGATGCGGATCCAAATGTCCCATTTTTTTTAGTTTCGTATTAGTACTTTGTAATTTTTTTTTTTGTACTTTTACTCTTTTTTTTGTGTGTGTGTGGAATGCTCCTGAGACGAGTTTGTTTGTAGAATACTATGAATGATGTTGAATGATGTTTAACTATAAAATTAAATGGGATAGGTTGATGGTTAACTATGAATGATGTTGAATGGGGTAGATTGATGGTTAACTATGAATGATGTTGAATGATGTTGAATGGGGTAGATTGATAGTTAACTATGAGTGATGTTGAATGATGTTGAATGGGACAAATTGATGGTCATATTTTCTGTTGCTATGATTTTTAGGGTCATATTTTCAAATTGTTTCAAACTGTTATATGACTATTGCTATGACTGTTCACTTCAATCTATTTCTCTTTCAATCTGCCATATTTTCAAACTGATGCTTCAGGTCCATCTCATGATCCTTTCCTACTTCCATTTGCTGCTGGAACCTTCTCTATGGCCCCTGAAAATTACGTACATCATGCCTCCTCATTCGATTATGGGGGACAAATATTTCATGGGCTTGAAGGTGGTTTTGTTGATATTACAATGACCAATGGAAGAGGACCATACAAGAGAAACAGTGTTTACTTCTACCTGTTTTAGTAATTCTCCATAATAAAATTACATCCATAATAAAATTACAACAAAATAGATCCATAATAAAATTACATCCATAATAAAATTACCCTAACTCTGTTTAGTTAATTCAATCAGTACATTATATCCATAATAAAATTACAACATCACATTCATTTAAACACTAACATTCAACATGTTCATTACATCCATAATTAGATTCATCAAATTTCCCAAAAACTAACAGTCAAGCATTTCAATTCTTACATAATAAAGTACAAAACGATACAGACTACAATCACATAAATCATAGACTTGAATTTGTTGTCCATCCTTTGAAGCCTTCTACCATGGTCATGTATTTCATTTTCCGTCTCAGAAAGCCTTGCCCTGACATCATTCAATTCTTCTGTTCGGATAGCTTTACAAGGTCCACTATTGGAATGGATTGTCAAGGTAACGTCCTCATCACCATCATCCGCAAACTTGAAGTAATTGTAGTGTTCTTTGTTACTCTTACTCTACAATGCATGACAATCAATTATTTAATTTACACAAATAATTTCCGAAATACTACAAGTTTAATTTCATAGCACATACTTACATATTTAGATGGGCAAACAAAAAAGAGACGCCCTTGATTTCCATTCTCAATGGTTCGTATAATACAAATTGCAGTTGTTTTCCTACAATCACACATTCTTGGTCTTAATCTAATGTTGCTGTTGTTAGTAGAAGAAGAAGCCATTTTTAATCTGCATAAACAAAATTCAAAATATTTGAATATTAATTTCAAACCATGTTTCCATATTTCATGTCTTCAATGCTCTGTGATATTCACCGACAAGTGTCATATACATTAAAAATTCAAAATTGAGATTTTATGGCAGTGAGTTTTTAAAAAGTACATTTTCAAGAAAACTCACAGCCTAAATCACTTAACAAGACACTTAACATATACATTCAAAATTGTTAAGTGTCTTATACATTCAAATTAAGTGTTCCATTTTCTGTAAAAACTCACAACCTAAATCACACCAACAAACACCCAACTTACATCCACAGTTACACCATTAACAATTTCTATGTGGACTTTCATCAAACATAAATTTCTATGTACACTTTGTAAAGATGGCTTCTTGATTTTTCCTTGTTAAACATTCACAAATAAAACATATGTTAAATATAATTCTGGCTTCTTCATTTTTCCAAATTAAACATTGTATCACAAATAAAACCCATGCTAAACATAATTCTAGCTTCTTGATTTTTCCTTGTTAAACACTCACAAATAAAATAGATGTTTCCTAATTGCTTCTTGATTTTTCCTTGCTAAACATTCACATATCAAACCTATGTTAAACATAATTCTAGCTTCTTCATTTTCCTTGTTAAACATTAACAACAAAATAGATACCGAATTAGTTACTTCTTGATTTTTCCTTGTTAAACATTCACAAATAAAACCTATGTTAGACATAATTATGGCTTCTTGATTTTCCTTGTTAAACATTTACAAATAAAATAGATGTTTCCTGATTTTTCCTTGTTACACATTCAGAAATTGATTTTTCAATTCCTTGTTAAACATTTAGAAATTCCCTTTCAGTTTTAATCTAATGGAAGAGGTTTACACAGAGTCTCACTACAAAATAACCACAATTTTTTTTTTTCACAGAATGATTGGAACAAAATCAGTTGGGGACTTTCATCAAAACAGGAAGGGAATTTCTGTAATGAAGAAAATCAGTTAGGAACAAAATTAGTTGGGGACTTTCATCAAACACTTGGAATGCATCAATATAATGAAAGATGTTTAACTGAGGTCTGATTCCAGAACAACCAAATAATTTTTTTTTTAACAGACATGAAGTCACACAATTCGGCATATCCATTGTTCCTCTCACAAATGCATCTCAAATAAAAAAAAATAAAAAAATAAAAATAACAACAACAACAACAAACATACAATAGCTTACTTCACAAGCTGCAAGTGTGGAGCAAAATACAAAACCCTCAATCATCAAACCCTACTTTTGAGTTTACAGAGTTTACCTAAGATTGGAAGGAGTGAGGAGGTGACAGAACAACTTTTTTCCGGCGTCGTTTCGGAGGAGATAAACTCGAATGATTTGGAGGAACGATGACAAACAGAGCAATAGAGAGAGAGTTTGGGTATGAGAACAAAAATGAGAACAGACGGCGAGATAGTTTGGGTATGAGAAGAAGAAAAATGAAGACAAAGGGCGAGATAGGTGCACGAGCCCACGTTTTCGGGCCATTCAAGTCGAAGTATTCGAGTCCTCTAGCAATTTTCTTTACACCTACACCACTTTCATCAGTTTTCATTCTTTTAATTAATATTTTATTCTTTTGTTTTGCAGCATCTTTTCGCCTATAAAAGGGAGCAGCATTCAGGGACCCGAGAGGGAAGCTCAAGTAGAAGGCAGAGAGTTGAGGCACTGTTTAGTTCATTCATATTTTTTTTTTCCCTTTAATTATGAGTAGCTAAAATATTTTGCCAAGGTGACGAGTGCAGTCACAACGAGTGCTTGATATTTGTCAATTATTTTTTATGATTTGAATGTAAGATTTTATTTTATTTGATTGATTATATTATTTGAAAAAATATTTTATTTGTATAATCTTTGATTTATCATTAATTCCGAGTACGGTGAATGCTTAGAATTCCTTGCGAACTAAATTACTAGTTTTGACATGTTAAACCAATCAAGTTTTTATGAAATCATATTTTGGAAATTATTTTTCATGAACTAAAAATTATTAAACTTTCCAATCAGATTCAACTTTTGTATGAATCTCAATTGAGTTATAAAATTAGAATTGTTGGCAAACACCATTTAACTTCTTGTGAGTGAATCTCCAAACCATAGGCTCATTAAAATTTTTATAAACAACCACATTAAATCTTCTGTGACCAACTCAAACTCCGCATCAAACCAAAATTTCATAAACTCTTTATACTTGTGCAATAAATCCTTGTGGAAATGACCTTGGGACTTCCGAGAATTACTATGCTTGACGATGACATTTTCTTACACTTGGGAATCCAATTGCAGTGAATAGGGATGAAATCAGGATTCCATTGTTGGGGGGGCCAGTAAGAAGGTATTAAGATGGTTTCCACAAGACGGAAGGTCCGATTGAGACATATTTAAAATTAAAAAAAAATTTCTACCATTTAAATAACTTAATTAAAAAATAATTATTACAATATTGATTAAGCTCATATCCCTTCACGTGTGCACAATCAAAAATGGTGGAAGAGGATCATGGTTGTGTTTAGATCGTAAATTTGAGAAATGATAAGATACAAATGTGAGAGAAATGGAGTTCAAATTTAACTTATATTTTATTCACATTTATCACATTGTGCCTATTATTTTCACAAATCTGTATTTAAATTCCATATCTAATCATAACCTAAAGAGAAAAACAAAGAAAGGAATGGAAATACAAATAGAAAGGTGTAGCTTGACTTTTTCGCGCCCTTTTTTGAATTTGATCTCACAAGTGCATTGTGAAATAGATAAACACCAAAGAGTCCCAATCCGACAAATCTTTTGGAAAATCGATTTTGAATCAAATTACCAAAAATAGACTGCTTTGCCAAATACAGAGTCGTTACCTAAATATTTTTGGAGAAACTTAGGAAACCTATGAGTCGTGCCAAAGGCCACGTGTCCGTCATCACCAAGATTGTCTCGGCTCGGGAAGGGAAAGGTCATGAATTGAGCACCCCCGCTCGACCGATCAAAGATCGGCCTCTACTAATCATGGTATGAATCTTATGTACATTACATGCTCTTGTTCTAATTATTAGGCTATCATTACTATGTGATGCGCACACACACAAGTATAGACTAAGTTTGCAAGAATTGGAACACTTGATTCGTGTTTGTTTTGAAAAATTGTTTCGAATATGTACCACTTGAAAAAGTGATCGCATATAAACATTACTCAAATTATTTCAATTCAAGCAAATAGCCTTCATCCACAGGCACTCAAACAGTTTTATCATTTAAGCAATTAGCTTCATGGTAAGCATGCTAGACATGGCAACAATCACACCCATGCAATATGCTAAAGTGAGTAAAGGCTCACCTAGTACTCCAAGTCAAAATAAACAAAAGAGTTAGAACAATGCATGATCCTAACTATGCAACATGACTAATACAACGCATGCGATATACAACTAATAAGCTCGGCTACTAATATGGCATATGAATCAATTAAATAGCATGCAATCTAACACGTATTCAAATAAGTATTAAA